GTAGGTTGATTAATTAGGTGAACTGTATCAGCGTGGTTCGTTATAAACCAAAACAAAATAGCGGACGCGGCACATGGCGCTCTTTGGACAAATATACATGCTATAATATAATATATATAACAAATATGCTAGCGGCCTCTCTCTACTGTCTTGTGAGGCAATGAAAACTGTGTTGCAACTGGGGCGGTTCGCGACGAAAAATGCGCTGGGGTTGACTGTTTGAACGTCACGACGAATTGTATTGCACTGTGGCAAGCGGTCACGACAACACGGTACTGTTCTGTGGCTTGACTGCCACTGTCGCTGTGCACCGGCGGCGTGCTGCCTTCTTCTTTTTGGCGGAGCGCGCCTCTCATTGGAGGAACAAAATGAGGCTACCTATGTATGCCTAGCCCTATTGGGCATTAGGCAGGCCCGTGCGGGAAGGAACAGATATGGAAGGAGGTTGTTGCCGGCTAACTTGACTAACTAATACAAAATTGGCGCAACCAATCTCAAAGTACTTTTCAAACCTGTTAATATCCATCAATCGTTCATCTTACGCAAATGTTAATTATTAATATCTTTATGAAGTCTTATTTATGGTCTAAAAAGTTTGCAAATATTTTTTTAGATTATACAGTATTTGTGGATCTTATTAAGAAAACTAAACACTATCAGGCCTTATTAATTTCCCCTCCTAGCATCATTTTAAAAGCGTGAAATATCTGAAATCACTGACAAATTTAAGAAACAAAAAATATAATCAATTTAAAAGACCCCCAAGAAATTTTTTTAGAAGAAAATATATCTTGACTTCGGTTATATACATAAGAAATTAAAAATTCAAGCCATGTGAAATTTTTATTAAAATGATGCGATAAAATGATAATTTTTACCAATGTAACATACATACTTAATTTATTAAAATAATAACTTAATATGCCAGAAGAACATCTTTTAACACTTACTCTTTATATTTAAGAATAAAATGGATTTATTACTATGAAACCCTCTCCGAATGAGGGGGGGGGGGCATGTGCCCAGCAGTGGCACGTATATAGGCTGTAAATTTACTCATATTACGCCACGTTTGGGTCAATTCAAATTAGACTGCTGCTAGGTTTTCCAGAAAGAGCACACGCTCTACCTGACGTTTGTTATGCATACGAGAATAGTGCACGATTATGGTGCTGTCGACAAGTCTTAGTCCTTTAGTAAGTTAAATATTTTAGTATTATTTTTGATGGATAACAATATATATTTTAAGATCAAAACAACGCTCAAATACGATAATAAAATTGACATAAATTAGGAAATTTTACCGCAGGAATAATATCCACTGAGGCTGGATATGTCCAGCTTAGTGCGTATTCTCAGAAGAAAGACCATCCCACCGTGCTTCTGCGATTATATAAAGCAACGAATAATCAAGTTGGCCAATGGTGGAATCAAACGGCGGAGCGTGTGGAACGGAGCAAAAGCTAGCAAAGTAGGAGACTAGCAAGCAAGACTTATCGGAAATATGACATCGCAAGGAATACCAATTATGGACTGTAAAAGTAAGGAGTACCAACTCCCATAGTAGAATAGTTTAAAAAGTGGTCATACTGGGATGAAATGAACTTAGCAGTTTCGACGGTTTGAAGTGTGCTGCTAAACTGCTCAGTAGCTCTAAAATCTAAAATAATTTTATTTCGTAAATATAACCTCGAAAAAGTCGTCTATCCCACAAATATTTTTCGGTGCGTTCTTTAAAATTTACCCCGTATCTATATAGTGGCGCCACCTTATTTAAAGGTTTTTATGGACACTTTTTAATACACAGTCTGTACTCCTTAATTCTAAACTCCATAATACCAATGATATCCTTCATTGCATACGCATGTTGAATAACGTTACATGGCACAAGCTAAGATGTTTCGTTTGTCGCTGCAAAATGGGTTACCATCACGTAGCCATCCAATTTTGCAGCAACACGTAGGACAGCAATATGTAAGTTCTATACTTTGAGGCGAAAAATTAATATTTTGTTACATGTTCCTGATCAGCAAAATAGAAGAATTGAGCCTCTTTCGCACACCCTTTTCAAGAAATTTTGTGGATCACATTTGATTGCTTATGGTGATATCCATACCATCCGAAATAACCGACTTTGTGGTAATATTACAGTTGGTAAAATCCCTAGAGCAGAAAAATATTATTAAAAGAAGCTCTATTTTATAGAGTGCTAACTTGCTTTCAAAAAGTTGACATCTACATGGGTTGCCGGAGTTTGTAAGTGCCGTGAAAATAGCAATGGTGCTTCCCTTGTTATGTAAATATTGTATAGCTACGATTTCAACAATATGTCATCTATAAAACATAGCAAGAACGACGAGTATAAAGCATTCCGAGAATTATTAAGGACTTTTAGTGTTAACTATACAAGACTGTGGATTACACATAGACCATGAATTTTCATTTCCGGATGCTACTCCAGATAGCATATATGAATCTGATATTTTAGAAGTTAAGTGCCCATCATCCAATTATAATACGGAACCCGGAGCAGCAAAAGAAAATTGATTTTTGGGTGTATAAATCTGGCGTTATCTCAGTCCACAGAAAAAGCAGATGGTGATTTCAAGTTCAAGGCCAATTACTGGTCAAACATGTGTGTAATTGCCATGTAGGTTAGCGACGGTAAAATAAAATACGTATTCATAAAAGTAGATGACCAGTTTTGGAAGAAAAACATGGAAAAACCTTTAGTAAAATTCTACAATAATTGCTTACTTTCAAAGCTAGTGTAGTGACCCTCGATACGCGAGACGTATAAATCTAAGAGACCATAGCTTGAACTCCAGAAAAAAATATTGACTGGAAATAATAACTTGTTTAAGCATACATTTACATGTTGTATTTTCGATTTTTTTGATTAATTTATTGATAAGTGACCTGATTGGTTTATTGGTTGTATTACAATGTTGTTTATTAATTTTTGTTTTATTTTAATTTAATTTCATTATATCATGTTAACGCATTTCTAATTATGAATTCCATTCGTTATCTGGTATGTCGTTAGTTTAGAGAACAGTAAAGGTTCTCTAGGGAATCCTTAGTGAAAATTAAATAAACTTTAAAAAAAGATTCCTTACACGCATGTTACGATCGGAAAATGTACGATAATACAGTCGCTAGCCCACACTTGTATTGCTGTGTGCCGGCGTCGTGTACAAAATTATTTAATAAAAACTCTGAACCCGCCGCCTTGTCCTAAATTAATAAATAATAAGAAAATTATTATCGTGTTAGATAGCAAACGCGATTGCAAAGTTTCTCGCTAACTAACTTTATTCAATACATACTTTAAGTATCCTCATACCAAAAAATAAAAAAAAAATGGAGCGCTGGGTTTATTTCAGGTGATGCAAAAACCAAGCTAAAATCATGCTCACCTTATAGTAAGATATGTGCGTGAGTGCATTTTAAAAAGTTGGACATGGTTTCGGCTTTACTTGAAGCCTTTCTTCCTTTGTTGGTCTGAGCAAGGATCAAAGTTAATTAGGGTTTTATAATATATACATATATATATATATATATATATATATATATATATATATATATATAATATAGCGGAAAACTTGCGTGCCTAAGTCAGCTTGCAATTCGAATACCTAAAATCGAGCACGTCAAAATGTAACTACGACTACGTCCTTAATAAACTAATTTTAACTTCAAATCATTACTAAATAATATAATAGGGTTATTCTATTGCTTACTTTACCGCACGTTGGAATGTAATTCTATTTATAAGTGTCAATTACGAGCCAAGGATGGCCACGACTTCGGACTTTGTCTTAGAACGTTTCGAGTTCACCACAATGGACAATGGTCAATTGACCATTTAAAAATGTGATGTTATGATCGTCATAAGAGATAAATTGGAACTAACTATCAACGTCGAAGAATAAAACTATAAAACCGTTTTTATTACCAATGACACGCTCTCTTTTAATGTTGCCATGAAAAAGATTGATCGTTTTAATTTCTTTTGTAATGTTACGCTCTATCAGTTTTTAGACAGACCTACCTCTCTATTGACATTTCTTTCCGTTATATCCAACAACATATTAATACTTGAAAATAATAAAGATGTCTTTTACTGTCAGTACTTACGTACGTACTTACGTACAGTTTTGTATCAGTCTTTTTTATAATTGATTTCAAAAAGGAAAGCGAAAATTTTAGCTAGCTCATTAAGCAGTTTTTATAATTATTGATAGATTATATTTGACAACTATATATTATATATAGTTGTCAAATATATAATGACAATGACAACTAACTTCAAAGAAAGAAGGATGGATTATCTCACAATCTTTTTAGTATATCAATGTCACAACCTGTAATTATACTAGCTCTTTAACCCTTTGAAACGGAACGCTACTGCTACACTACACTAGCACTGGGGGCTCTGCTAATTGGTGGTAGAAATATGCAAGTGGATAAAATCAACCTAGAGGTACTCCTAGAGCAAAACGAGCCCTGCCACCTAGCACCTAGTTTTTATAGAATAAGGGTGACAAACGATCACACAGTCCACCTGATAGTAAGTGGATACTGCAGTCCAGAAACATCTATGTACATCTATCCTCAGTTAAGAATCAAAATGCAGACATGTTGTCACTACTGAAGATTAAGATGGAATACTTATTTTCAGTAATAAGGTCTCCGGTTTCCTACACTCTCAATACGAAACAGCAGCACTACGCTGCTATTTTACGCTGTTATTCTGTCACCTATTTGATACTGGAACTTACTTGATAGTTTTGCAAATTTTGAATTAAAATTTAGTAAGTGAATGAAAATTCAATTACAATCAGTTTTTGGTTATTAAGCGGCTTATTTTGTTTTAAGTAAATTCATTATTGTTTTTCTGCCCTTTTTAAAGATTCTAGTTTTTTTTTTTTAAATTAGGTATTGTACAAACCTAGTTTATATAAATTATATTAACGGGAACTTTTTGTTTGTTTCAGGTATTGTTTCTACCTATGATCGTTTACGTCCCTGCTTTAGCATTTAATCAATGTAAGTTAAATTTAATGTTTCATTTTCAGTATTCCAATTTTTTTATTTATGTCTTACAGAACAAGCTATCTTACTGAATCATGTAATATTTTAAACGGTTTTATAAAACAAAAAGTTTAATACGAATCAAAGATGAGCTGTCTCATTTCTTTCGCTCTTATTTATTCTTCTTTATCGGCCTGCAAACGTCCACCGAAGGCAAAGGCCTCCCCCGTTGTTAGAGTTTTATTAATTTATTTATAATTTTTTACGATTTTTATTTATTTTTTAATTTTTATTTTCCAGTGACAGGATTTAATGTTTTTGCCGTCGGTGGCGTTATGGTCGCAATATGTGGGCTTTACACGGCTTTAGTGAGTATTTTTTTGTTAACTTACTTATTTTTTATATATATTTTATTTGTGGTAAAGTCATGCTACAGTCTATATTGTGGTTGCAGCTCGAATGGGTCCTCTCGACCGGGGAACGACCACGCTCTCACTGAATACCAGCGTAAAATAGCAGCTTAACCCTGCTGTGTTTCGTATGGTAAATGTAGAAAACCGGAGGCCCTTTTGGAGGCAATCCATCTTAGTTATTTTATCTTAGTAACGTGAAATCTGCATTTTGATTCTTAACCGAGGATAGATATAGATGTCTATGGATCTCAGTATCAACTTATCATCGCTGTCTTCGTTTATCACCCTTATTCTATAAAAAAAACAACCACAAGTCTTCTTACTATCACCTAATCAAAAAGGGACTATATTATTTAAGTTTTATCACGTCATATCTTTATATTAAGGGAGGTCTCCGTGCAGTAGTTTGGACGGATTCGGTGCAGACCGGCGTGATGTTCATCGGCGTGGTGCTGGTGGCAGCCGCTGGGACGATTGCCGTGGGTGGTTTCCGGACCGTGTTTAACGTGGCCAGTGAATCAGGAAGACTGGATTTGAATAAGTTAGTATGCGATGGCTGTTACACGCCTCACGAGGGAGTGCTCTGCTCACAATATGTGGCCATACCCCAATTTTGCTACATAAAATCGTTCTTATACTTTTAGCTAGACATCAAATCCATATATAATAATATATTAATATATAATAATATATTAATAATAATTAACGTTACAATAACTACAGACATTGAAGTATAAGATTAGTTTATTTTCTAATTGATTCATTTTAGATTACATTACAAAGAATGTAATGGAAAAAATATATGGACTGCCGTCCGTTGGTCTGTGTGTCGGTGAGTCTCGCTTAATAGAAATGTAAACAATAGATTGAGATATATATTGTTAAGGGGATATAGTAAGTCAGCTCAAATTTTAATTTCGCCCCCACTTCGTATGCTATGTACCGACATGTTTTTAATCACTAATACTGTAAATAGATAGGTCGTTAGACACTTATTTCATTAGGTTTATCATATTTATGCCTGTTTCTTAAAGCCAAGCCAGTCGCTTCTTATTTTTATTACGGTTATTTCCCATTTTAATTATACGTCGTCCTCTTGCGTAATGTGTATTCTGACCGTAAGCGACATAACCTCCCCCTTCAAAGGCCGAAGCGAAACTGACCGGGCGGCAGGAATCACGCTTCAAGAGGCCGATAGTTTAGGTTATTTCTTTTTACAGTGAAAATAATGGTATTTAAAAAAAGTAAATAACATAAGCACTGCTTTATAGTTAGTTCAGTTAGTATGCAAAGTTTCATGATCTTATTTAAAGTATTTTATGAATAACAGCGGTTTATTGTTTATTTTGGAGGTAACTTTGGATTTTTTTCTATCGAGAAAATTTTACGGAATCGTGATTTCGTCTAACATAATCCTTAACATTAATCCTCAATTTTACCATATATTTATTTCAAAATTAATGCTGCAATATTTTCGGCATAACGGAGGATCTTGCTAAGCCATTTGATGTTATATTTCCCCTTAAATAAGATTCCATATATTCTAATATAGATCCCTACCGATTTTTGTTATTAAACTCAACACCGCTTAAGAGTTATGAAAGTCGATCAAATTGTCTGTTTTTTTTTCTTGTAAAAATTATCGTCACTATTCACATCTCTTTTAATTTTAATTTTAACATAATAAGCGTGTGAGGCTAAGGTGTGCACTTTAGAATTTTCCAAATATTTAATTATTTTTTCGCTTACAAATATTTTAATTCTACACCACGCATTATTATCAGAGTCAACTATGTCTAAATTTGCGGATGTTGAAATTAAACTCACTGAATGTCACCAGTAGTAACACAATTTTTTTGCATAATAATTCTCAGACCCTATACGGTTTGCCGTGAACGAAAAGATAACGAGGTGTAATTCGACGCTAGCGACATCTCTTGACATTTTTCAGTACTAAATACTAAGGTTAGAGTAGAACGATTAGAACTGAAATTAAATGTTTTTAAACAACTATGTATGATGTTGTGTGGTGATTACTTACTATCTATTTCTTTTTTCTAGAAGCAAACGAGAGTTTGCTTATAGTGCACTAGCTCCTATTAACACTTAACAAGATGTGACGTGGCTCTGACATGGCTCTTTTAACAAAGATTTGTTCACCATAGGTGTTACTGATAGCCCCCTGTGCAGGGCATGCATGGGAGAGGAAGAAACGGCGGCTCACGTGTTGCTGACATGTCCAGAAATCGCTTCATACAGGGCTAAACATCTCGGCACCCCGGGATCGCTCCCCGAAGTCGCTTGCAACATCAAAGGACTGTTGAACTTCTTCGGGGAAATATCGTGGCTCGAATAACTACATTATTCCTGCCCACACGCAAAATACGCGCTTAGACGTGGAGTTGCGGAAAACATCCCGTCGTAAACTAACTAACTTATCCAATACCGCCTATCAAAAGTCCACTGTACATAGGCCTCCCTATAGTTTACTTCATGGGGCCACGCTTGGCGAGCGAGTAAATTAATTAGTACGCGGGTACATGAGATGTTATCAGGAAGATGTTGCTGATGATCTCCTGTTGAAATAGAGTAGTGGGAGTAGAGGCAGTGTCAAGGAACGCCGCCTCTACTTCCACTATACACACAGGCAAGATACATTATATATTTTGGAAATAAAACATTTCAGCTGGAACTTTTCACCTTATGAACGACAGAGCGGTTGGGGCGCGGTGGTGGGCGGCTTTCTGTACTGGACCTGCTTTAATTCCGTCAACCAGACTATGGTACAGCGGTATATCGCGTTGCCCTCCAAGAAAAAGGCCATCGCGTAAGTCTTGTTTGTGATACAAAATAATTAAAAGATTAAGAAATTACAGTTTTTACTATCATGTTGAACTATTAAAATTATCTATGTTGGATGATAATTTTTTGTATACATTTACTAGTAACTGATTTACCACGTGCTCTGCGGTGACGGAAAACAAGTTCGAGTAAGGGAGCCTGAAAGTCTAAGGAATAAAACTTTTCGAGGATCTGAAATCCGCCAACACGCACTGGAGCAATGTGTCGCAGCTTCAGGTATGAGTGAAGGCAAATTCAATTTCTAGTGCCGGTACAACAGAATATTTTTCTGTTAAATGCGTTTATAGGTATCGCGTGCTCCGTGATAAAACCTGCATGTCTGAGAAATAAATTATATTTCGAGGTTAAAGTCCGCCAACCCGCACTTGACAACGAGAAATTATAGTGTTTTATATATATACTTCGTGCTATGTTTGGTTCTCTTTTGAAATCTGTTTTCTGATAATAATAATAAGTCGTTTGCATCATCCATCAGTTTCTTTCCCTTTCCTCCAAATCCTCGTCCTTTTTGTCTCCCCTGTTTTATTTGTTTCTTTTCACAGAATTCTTCGACGTGTTATTAACGCAAATATTTACTTAATTCATAATGATGTGTTAGTCCTTACTTTAATCTATGGTAGTGAAAGTTGGGTGTGGCAGAAGAAGCACGAAAGTATAATAAATGCTGTAGAAATGCTGTCTTTAAGGTTGCCCTAGTCGATGGCACGAACTAAGTGGTGGGCGGGGTAAAAATGCATGCTATCTCAGCCGACATCACGTGCGAAAGGGATAGACGCTGTGATGAGCAGTAAGAAGCTAGTGCGCACACACATACGCACTCGAGTGACGCAATGCGAGACGGCGTCATCGCGTACCTACCTATGCGATTCATTTTTGAATAATAACATAAACTCAAACGGCAATTTGAGCTCCGTATCGCAGTGGCTTAGCAATGATGCTGCGCTGGGCGCCGCGGATTCGAATCCCGCACGGAACAAATATTTGTATGGCCTACAAATAGTTGTTCCGGGTCTGGATGTTTGTCCTTGTGCAATTTATGTTTGTAAACTGCCTCCACGATAATGGAGAAAATCCCACTGTGGGGGGTAACGTATTTTAAAAAAGAGAAAGGAGAGAGAAAACAAATTGGTGTTATTATAACTTAGGATCTGCTATGTGAAACGTAATTATTACGAACCCAATTTATGTACTTAGTTGTTATTATGAAAGTTCTTATGTGAACTTAAGTAGATGTTGTTATTATATAATAGTTCCATTGATTTGTTTTTACCTACTTTTTAACCGACTTCGAAAAAAGGAGGTGGTTCTCAATTCGTTGGCTTTTGTTTATGTATGTTCTGTCCTCCGATTTCTCGAAGATGCCTGAAGCCTGAACCGATTTGGAAAAATATTTTTTTGTTTGAAAGGATATATTTTCCAGATAATCGCACGGTAATCGATAATGATCAGATCAGGATCTGATGATGGGATCTTGGAGAAATCGGGGGCACTCTTCAATAAATGACAGCGAATCAACCGCGATTGCTGCTATCGCCTATCTAAGCATTCTTTACAAAATATAATATCACTCCTGTACCCACTAAAGGGACATAACTCTCAACTAAAAACGGTAACATAAAAAACTTTTTTTGAAAAAAATATTACAATTTCTAAAACAAACACAAAAAAGTGTAACATAATTATGTAGTACGTGCTTATATATATGTAGGATAGAATAAGAGAGAGTCAGTAATAAACCTACAGTCAAGACCAGTAGACGTATTGTTATTTATTCCCCGAACCTACCGATATTACATGGCGACCCTGCCAGGCGGTGCGCTGCTACAATGCTAGCGCACCGCCGGGACCTGCATAAGAAATTGAAGTAATTTATCAAATAAATATAAAATAACAAAAATTTATCTATGAGATGTTTTCGTTAGTTAGCAAATGAAAGTAGTTAAGTATCTAATGTACTACCTGTATCGAAAGTTCATTATTATGTACCTACCTGTTTTAAATTTTAACTAAATGTGTTTCAACAAACTTATGGGCACATTTTAGCAGCCATATTCATCCCGGCTTCAGCAATGGACACGAACAAAAGGAAGCAATTTTTCTAATTAAAGATGTAGATATGTAGGTATCACAACCATAAATAGATAGCAGCGGCTAACCTAGTGAGTATGTGTGAGTGCGCGCTGCGCCCCACTCCGTCCGTCCCACTGATCGGGGAAACAATTTGAGTAGCGAAAAGCAAGATATTTTGTAACAAAAACGGGCGCGCGAAATTTTATAAACAGACCTTTGGTAGTCTGGATGTCACGAAAAATCTATTCAATGTATCTGTTTAAAATAAAATCATTTGCATTTTTGAACAACTAATCTATCCCTGTATGGTAACTGTTTTGCAATTTTCGTTCTTCTTATGGTATTTATTTCCGCCCAAAGATGTGTTAAAACTAGTGTTGAAATTCGGAATTTTCGACGCTTATAACTTCTAAACATACTCTTTTTTACGTTTTTGTTTCTATACAGGGCTAGATAATGATGAGACAAATTGAAATCATTTTTTTTTTGAACGTACACCATCAAACAGTGGAGTAATCGCCGCGCCGGACTACGTTTGTATGAAAGAATAAGCGACTAGTGTACCCTTAAGGAGTATGCTAGGGTTGAATATAAATGAAAGGGTGATTGGTGGGAATTGCGTGATAAGAGATAAATGTGGTATGCAAGATAATGTTGTGACCAGGATTAAGAAAAGAATGCTTCGGTGGCATTGTCATGTAGAAAGAATAAATGAGGAAAGAGTGACAAAGCAAATATATATGGCAGAATTAATGGCAGAGTCGGGAAGGGACGCCCTAGAAGAAAGTTTATCGACCAAATTGGCGATATTTAGAAAATGGGCCACATTAGAAGTACCTTTAACTGACGAGCATGTATGCGTAGATATATGGATGTAAAGGAGGCTAAAGAGGTATGTCAGGATCGTGCCAAATGGAAGTCCGTAGTGTCTGCCTACCCCTCTGGGTGACAGGCGTGAGTGTTTGTATTATGTTATGTAATTAACTTAATATCAAATTATTATCAAAGCAAAGTTTCTATAATATAAACATGAGTATAGCATTACAATATTACTCAATACGAGATTAAATCATAGTTTTGAAGTGTAAACTTCTTTAGCATCGTTGTGATTTCTATGAAAGTCTATGAAACGGAAACGCGACAGTAAAAAAAGACAGACACATAAATTCATAAGATTTAACGTGGGAGAAAATCAGATAGGAAGCGTTATAATTATCCCCCCCCCATCCCCTCCCATAATACGCGGGGCAGCTTGGGCGTGGATGCTCAGTACTAAGCAAAATATGTCAATTTAAATAATTATTACGAATATTAAATTTGTTATAAAACTCATGAAGACTAGGTATATTAGACAAGGTTAGAGACCATTGGATTCTGAAAGTCGAATTCTATGGTTTTTAGGAGGATCTCTGCGTTTGTTTGTGTTCGTACATATGTAAATACGTATATATACAACTACGTTATACACGTTCGTGATTAATTTTCTCCTCTCATATCTCGAGAACAAATAATGATATCAGCATCGAACTGGTTTCATTCGATGAAGAATCATTTTAGTAGAACCTGATTAAGTTTTTATAAAAAACTGGTCCAGTACTTTTTGTTATGGATTAATTTACAGAAGAAATAGCAAGCTAACCGAATTTCATAGTTAATTATCTGTATTATTTACTCATAAAGGCTCCGAATATGGACACAGATTTTTTTAATATTACTACTAATTTCATGCTATTCCCTGTTCCTAATTTCCCATATTTTTGCTATGAAATTTGTAATGTGGATCTCGCAGATTGAACCCATCTTTTTTTTAAATGGTTTAGCCACGCATTGTCCATACACAAAGACAGTACAAAAAGTTTAAATAAAGCAATGAAAAATGAAGAAAAATAAAGCCTCTTAAAAACATTTGTGATTTTACTTTACTTTTTTACTATAATTATACTCGTAAGACATAGTACGTAAGCTGTACCTATATAAACTGCTATTTAAATTATAAACCTATACAAACACCTGATACACGTATAAAACAAATCTAGATTATCATGAACTGAATTCGCTGATACGATGAAGCAGCAGTTTATTACAAAACATATCTATTGAGACTTGTAAATATAGAACTGAGTACAATATAAGTCGTTTATAAAATGATATTACTCTAGCGTTCTTATATTTAAAAAGGATGTCATTGCCATGTACTTTTTCTCTATACAACGGTTAAATCTCTTGCATAGCATAAAACAAAGTCGCTTCCCACCGTCTATACGCTTAGATCTTTTAAATTACGCAACGGATTTTGATGCTATTTTCATCAATAGACAGAATGATTCAAGATAATGCTTTATATGTAATAATACATGTATATGTTGTCGAGATCCGAAAAATACCCGTGTGATATCGGGATAAATCACTAGTTTAAAAATAGATTATATTTTTATAATTATACACATTTTTGACTTGTGGTGGCGGTGTGTCTTCTACTCTATGTCGTATTGTGGGTGTCGTAAGAGGAGGAAAACAAACGTAGACAGAGAAACCTAGGAGATGAGCAGGAGCACCTTCCTAATAACAACTTAAAATAAAAATATTCTACTGTTGCCAAACCATCTGCCAAGCGCGGTAACGATAGTAAATTTCCTCCCTATAAGCCAATGAAATAAAAAAGAGGTGGCATATGTTTAGCATTAGACTGTTAACAGGCTGTAACAGTAAGTACACATTTTTTTATTGTTTTGATATTATTTTGTCACATATTACGGTTTATAACATTATAATGACACGAATAGCTTACACTCCATTTGATGGTAAGTGATAACTGACGGTGTGTAGTGCCGGCATAAGGTATCCTGGGTAGGGATAGAGGGAAATAAAACAGCAACATCTGCCATGTGTGGCAAATATGGCAAATATTCGTTCTATGAGGATGTCGCCATAGTTAATCCTAATATAATTATTTATGGAGGTAGCCGATGTTCAGCAGTAGATTTTTTCTCTAATTGTAAATATCACTACAGACACTTGCAACCAATATTAAGCAAAGAATGCCATAGTTTCGAAGACGCCTCTGGATAAAAGTTGGTAAAGTTACAGCCTATATACGTCCCACTGCTGGGCACAGGCCTCCGCTCATTTCTGAGAGGGTTCTGGGTACTTAGATGAAACTCCCTACAGTCTATGGCTTCACGGGCTTTCTTACCTTTTTATTTGAAACACAGCACTAGGTGCACTCCTGTCTATGATAAAAATAGGTAAGAACGTGGTACCCACCGAGAAGAACTCCTACGCAGAAAATATCTCTATTATATATATATATATATATATATATATATATATATATATATATATATATATATATATATATAATGCTGTAGAAATGCGGTCTTTAAGCAGTATGTTAGGGCTGAATCTGAATGGCAGGGTGAGAAATTGCGTGATAAGAGAAAAAATGTGGTGCGCAAGATGATGTTGTGTCAAGGATTAAGAAAGGAATGCTTCGGTGGTTTAGTCATGTAGAAAGAATGAACGAGGGAAGAGTGGGAAAGCAAATTTAAATTGCAGATGTGAATGGCAGAGTCGGGAAGGGACACACTAAAAAAGGTTCATCGAGCAAATCGGCCGATATTTTGGAAATTGGACTACATTAGGAGTACCCATAACCTACGAGTGTGTATGCGTAGATATATGGATGTAAAGGAGGCGAGAGGGGTGTGTCAGGATCGTGCCAAATGGAAGTCCGTAGTCTCTGCCTACCCCTCTGGGTAACAGGCGTGAGTGTTTATATTTTATAAATATTAATGAAGCGTAGTGTTGGCGTCAGGGAATCTATTACCCCATATTATCCCGTGGGTGTCGTAAATGGTGACAGAGGGAAATGAAACAAGGGGCTGCCAACCCACCAAGTGTGGCAGCTATCGCTAATATTCCTCCAATGAGGCAGTCTATGTAGGAGGCCAGAGACTTTTGACGGGCTGTATTAATAAATGAAAACACTCTAACAAGCACATATTTATTTTTATTATTACGGAAAGTGAAATGGAAAATAAATGTCAATGCCTATGTTCATTTTTGATTACAAATAGAAAAACTGCCATGATAGGGGCTTAGCTCGTGCAGTAAATTTAATTAAAAAAGTGACTTGCAGTTTCAATCTCTGCCGGTACCAATGAAATTAATTGCGGTTTTAAGAGCTGTTATATGACGTGTTCGTCAATGAAGGAAAACATCGTGAGGTAAACTTGTCTGAGAAATATAATATGTTGAGGACATGTAAAGTCCGCAAAAACGTACTTGCGCAGTGCGGCAAACAAATTGCTCCATAGCTCTTAGAAATGATCAGTGTAGGACGTTCAAGGCTAAAGGCATAAAATCGTAACATAAATTCATAAGTCATAAGCAATAGTGGTAATTGTAACGTTCCTCAATATAATATATTATAACCTGATGATGAAATGAGATGGACTGCCTCGTTAGTCTAGCGGTTGAAGTAGTGCGACTGCTGATCATGAGGTCCTTAGTCGAATACCGGGTCTCAATAATTCCCGGGAATTATTAAGTTTTTCCGTCAAGAAATTCTCAGTAGCTGCCCAGAGTCAGGAAGATGGCGGTGTCTCAGCCCCGTGCCTCGGAAAGCACGTAAAGCTGTTGGTCCTGCTCCTGATCTCTCTTCGGTCGTTTTTCCTTCTCGTTTTACCGCCCAATCGAATTATGAGAGTGAGGGAATAGAGAGTGCAGCTGTGCTTGCGCATACACTTGGGCACTATAATCCTGTCTTGTGCCGATGGCCAGTCTCCGTTGAGGCAGGCCACCTTGACCGAAATTCGGTCTGGAGGACATTATTATCATCATTATTATATATATATATATATATTTCGTGCTTCTTCTGACACACCCAACGTTCACTACTGTACTTTTACTACACTCACTTTTTAGGATAATACTTTAAACAAAATCAAAAGTAGGTGTCATATAACGACAGTATTAAGCCATAATCAATGAATAATTAAAAGATAATTTTTATAAAGTCATTTTTAATATAGGTATCATGTGATTATTTTTCAGAGCGTTAGCAATATTTTGTGCCGGTGCGGTCTTAGCAATAACGCTATGCGTGTGGTGTGGACTGGCTGCATGGACAGCGTGGGTGCGCGGTGGTTGCGCCGAGTCCGGCAAGCCTATAGTGGACGACAGGCTGCTGCCAGCATTCGTCACCTACGTGGCCAAAGTGCAGCACCTGCCTGGATTGGCCGGTGTATTCCTCGCGGGTGTATTTGGAGCTGGATTAAGGTATGTTATGTTACATTTTTTAAGATATAATTAATATACAGTATAAAATTCTAACACATTTGACATTGACATTGTGTAATTTAGAAGTTCATTTTATATACATATATATATGTATTACATGGCTAAAAAGTTTTGTCTTATACAGGATATTAGTGTAAACACCGTTATCCTTGAAACCAGTGGTTTGGTTTCACTTATAGAACGTATATTCAATGAATTTAAAAAAAACGCTATTATCTTTCATAAAATTTAAAAAGTTTCTGTCCGACACCGTCCGTAAATTCATGGATACCCTATGCGCCCGAGTGACGTAATCACTGTAAACATCACCGCCCGCGCTACCTACCTACACAACATTCAACATAAAACCACAATAGGTACATATAACCTGTGATGTAACTTTTCCTTCATACTTTCTCCTGGCTTTGGTAAAAATTGAAGAATTAAGGAAAAATTGAGATTTTACTAAAAAAATTGTTGTTTTTTTTTTCATTGAATTTACGTTCTATAAGTGAAACCAAACCACTGGTTTCAAGGACAACGGTGTTTACACTAACATCCTGTATAATTAAAATGATATTATAGTAACACAGGTAAACTAAACTGTTCAGCATTGTTTTGCAACACAAGGAACTTAAAGGTGAACTTAAAAATTGATTTCAGAATCCATTTTCTTGATATTTCTTGCCTTAAGTTCAAAAATTATTAAAATAAGTGACTTCTATTAAGTTTATCATAAATACGGAAGCACCGGACAAGTAATGTCAGCGACAGTAGGTTAAGGTGCGGCTGGTGCGGCCCGTGGAAAATTCTAAGGCCGCGGACAATTTGTAATTTGTAAATAATGCGGACTTTATCCAAAAAGTGCCGGGTAAACCTCGAATTACCGACTGAAACTATTTTTTACGGATTTTATCGCGTATATTAACTCATTTTATATTCCCGACGTTTCGAGCACTTTACAGCACCCATGGTCAAGGGCGGGAAGGACGTGTTCGACGTTCCAATGTCATGGTTAAGCACGGCTACCTCCGGATTAAAATTATTGATTTTTTTCCGATATATGCAGTAAGAACTTATAGTATCTTGTAGTCTTGCAGTTACATGCTTGGGTTGGGAATTAATTTTATTTATTATAGGATCCCAAGCAGATGGTAGCACCCAGCCATCTTCTCTATTGAAATTAGGATGTTTTTTTGATTTCAATAGCATCGCGAATCATCCTTGCAAGGAATCGGTGTTCTTTAAATGCATTGATTTATATGTTACACTAGATAAGTAATTTCCGCGCCAAAGCGTTGTCACTTCACATAAGGCCACAGCCTTATACTCAGCGAACGTCGGTTCAGTGTTCAAGGTGACGCCGTCCGAGTTAAGCCGAACGATTCACAACAAAAAATGGGTAAATGCGTAGTGAAAGAATGCGTTTCAAGGTCACAAAAACATAATAAATCAAGCGGAATCACTTTCCATACGTAAGTTTTAATTTATATATTCATATTAACGTTTAAAACACTAAAAAATTAAATAAAATATCGAATATTGCAATTTAGGTTCAATGTTGCCACTTTTCCGCCTTTGTGATTTTTCCACATTAATGGGAGACTGTATAATTTATGGAATAAGTTAATTTTGTTTTAAAATAAACAAGTAAAATTGATTGCTTAAAAATAAAAACTATGTTTCAACCTTTATACAAAATAATTATTCTTATTTTATTTTATTCATGAATTATCTATTAAATATATTTTACTACCTTATATCTTATATTAATAATTTTATATTAATTAAAATTTCATATAAATTTTATATTAATTATATTTCACTACCTATTTTATATTACTTGATTTATTAGTACAGTAAAAAATATTTATAAAAATATGTTTTATTTCATCATTATGTACTTCTAACTCATCTGATAAGCTTTGTATTCTTTTTTTCTAAGGGGACGCAATAAAGATTTTAAAATAAAATATACTTTCTTAATATAAAAACAATTAACTGAAGCTTAAAAAAAAACTCATTTTTATTGCGTATTTTAGGTAAAATTTTATATAGTAAGCCACACCAACCCGCCATTGCATGTTTGTGTGTCTATCTTTATCTAATTTTAGCGACGATATTGTTTACGTAACTTGTGTAAGTGAGATAGATATATGTTTATTTAAAATTGTTATTAGTTTCAAAGCTACGTCGTCGCGTTTGGATAGTGGTTACACATTTTTCGACGCGCGGTAATGTGGTTTGCTCCTCTAGTTGTATAACTCAATGTTTAAATGTGTTCTGTAAAGTGCTCGAAACGTCGGGAGTATAAAATATGTTAATATAGGTGATAAAATCCATAAAAACTAGTTTTATAAATAAGTGTAGTGTTCGCAAATTAGGAGTACCCTTAACCGACGAGCATGTATGCGTAGGTATATGGATGTGAATGAGGCGAGATAGGTGTGCCAGGATCGTGCCAAATAGAAGTCTTTAGTCTCTGCTTACCCTTCTGTGTGACAGGCGTGAGTGTTTATGTATGTTTATGTATACGTAGTGTTCGCGTAATTATAATAAATCATTATTCCTGTAACATTTACAGTAATTGTATAACGTTACGGAGTACAATGCAATTGTTCTATGTGTGACAGTTCACTGTCGGCGGTGCTGAACGCATGTGCTCTCGTGGCGGTGGAGGACATCATGCACGGCTGGCTGCGACTGCGGCTCCAGCCGCTGACGGAGGGCATCCTGGCGCGCTTGTTCACCGCCACCCTGGCCATCGTGTCGCTTGTCATGCTCATCGTTATCGAGAAACTCGGCGGTGTACTAGGTAAATCACTTATTATATTTACGTTTAACGAGGTTATCTTAAAAATGTAATTAAATTATGTTAAAAATTAAGTTTAATATATAACAAGTCGTAAAACGAATGGGTCGGCCGACCGGGGAAGGACCACTCTCTCACAGAATACCTGCGTAAAATAACAGATTAACGCTGCTGTGTTTCGTATGGTGAGTGTAGAGAACCGGAGACCCTTTTTACTGGAAACGAGGCGTTCCATCTTAGTCCTCACGGGTAACACCGCATTTGCATTCTGATTCGCATTCGAGGATAGATGTAGATGACTATGGGCCACAGCAACCATTTACCATAAGGTGGAACTGTCTGCTCGATTGTCACCCCAAGCGTCTTTACCCTTCCTTTATATAACGCACTCTGTGGGCATATCTCAGTGCTTTAGATGCAAAAGATTCATTTAGGAGTGGCGTCACTGCTAACGAGTACATAAATACTGTTAGTGTATTGTCTACGTTCACTGAATTCTTTAAACAGTGCGACGAATATTTACATGTTTTATGCAAATCTTCTTGTGGATATGCTGGTTGTTTCGATAATACCAAACTTAGATTTTGTACTCCTGAAGCCCGAGGTTTTCTTCTTTGTTTTTTATTTAAATATTACCTTACTCCGTGGTATATAAATACCACTATAATTTTCTCCTACATTGTGGAGGCGTTAGACATATATAAATTGCACATTGTCAAACATCAATTGTTGTTGACCGCGCGGGATTACGACCCGCCGACCGTGGCGTATTTTACTTACCCCTATGAGAACGAACGAAATACGACTACTCCACGGATTTTTTAAAAGTAATTTTGCAATGATTGTTTTATAATTTAATAATGACTATTGCACATATTGCAAAGGCTTGTGCTTGTTGACGTGTATTTAGTTCGTGAATTTAACGTCTGCTTTGAAATGAACGTCTTGACTTACCTTCCCCTATTTTAATACGATTTATTACAATAAATATGTTATTGATGTGATGAATTTCCTTACCGATATATGATGTGATAACATCGTGATCAGTTATTATGCTTTATTACGAGGGTGGATTGAAAAGTACTCGGCCTAACCAAGAAAATAAACACATACTAAATCAGTTATATTTTTATTTTTCTACATAATCACCATCAAGTTCAATACACTTTTGCCACCTCCCCTTCCAAGCATTTAGACCGTTGAAAAAAAATGATTCTTCCTTAGAGTCAAAATATGCGTCTACAGCTGCTTTGACCTCGTCGTTTGTCGAAAATCTTTGACCTCCCAAGTGCTTTTTTAGGTTAGGGAACAGAAAGAAGTCTGATGGTGCCAGATCAGGTGAATACGGCGGATGCGGTAACAGTTCAAAGCCACAGTTGTGAATTTCAGCCATTGACTGTACTGACGTGTGAACAAGGGCGTTATCTTGATGAAACAGGACTTTTCTTCTGAGCATTCCTCGACGTTTTCTTTTATTTCCTCTCGTAAACGACGTAGTAAGGTGCAGTAGTAATCAGAGTTTATAGTCTGACCCCTTTCAAGATAATCAATCATAATCACAGCTTTCGAGTCCCAGAATACTGAAGCCATCACCTTATTTGCCGACAAAATCGACTTAGCCTTTTTTAGGGGGTGGTGAACCAGGTCTTCTCCACTGTTTTGATTGTTGTTTTGTTTCCGGTGTACAGTAATGAACCCATGTTTCGCCATAGTAACAAAACGATTCAAAAAATCATCTGCATCGGCTTCAAATAACTCCAAACAGTCGCGTGAAATAGTCAATCGCGTCCTTTTTTGTTCAACTGAAAGCAGTCGCGGAATCCGCCTCGCAGACACCTTGTGGAAACCCAACTCGTTGACAATGATGTTTTGAGTTCGTTCATAAGAGATGCCTATAATCTCGGCTATCTCTCTAATTTTTAATCTGCGGTCTCCCATTATTAAATCAAGTACTTTTTTAATATTTTCGTCAGTAGTTGACGTCGAAGGCCTTCTAGAGCGGGGTTCATCTTTCACACTCTCTCTACCACGCTTAAATTCTGCTATCCATTTTTTGACGGATGAATATGACAGAGCACAATCGCCTAATGTACTGACCATGTCATCATTGATGGCTTTTGATGATAGCCCCTTCTTATGGAGGTACTTAATGACGGCACGCTGCTCGATTTGCTCCATTCGCGGAAATTATGTCCGATTACTTTGTTAATAAATTTATAAAATCACAACTAATTATCGCACACGTTTTGAACTTCACACAATGAACTAGTCTGAACTGAACTAAATAATGTGGGTAGATTTGATTTTTAGAATTGAATGGATCTGTGTTAGGCCGAGTACTTTTCAATCCACCCTCGTAATTGTATCAAGTTACCACAAATAAAGCAATTGAATAAATCAAAGGTTAATAGAAACGGTTCAACTTTCCTTAAAATACTTATTCCTATTTAAAATAAGTTTTAAAAGAACAAAAAATTTACTTATATCAATAACTGTTTATCTATATATAAATTATGCGTAATTTGGTGTCATATTGAAACAAAAGTCTGACATAAATTTGTGTCAAAACAGTTTAATAGGGGTTTTGGGAGCTTGTGTAAAATTTCGCTTGATATTCTATTACCTATAACTTACAAAAAAAAATTTATAAAAAAAACTAGAAACAAGTTTTCATTTTTTATGTTTTTATGGGTATTGTTTATGAACAATTCAATTCAATTTATTTTGTGGAACTCGAAAACATAAATAAGATTATAAAGTGCATTATAAAAAGTTATTACAATAGGCGATCTTATCGTTTTCATAACATTATTTTTATGCAATTTAACTCAGGGTTTTACCACACCAATCGATCGATGGTGAAATAGATTAGTCGGCGTCGATCAATAGTTTCTACCATCGATCGATATTCGATCGATCGATGGTAGAATGCATCGACGTTGATCCATCTGCTTAATTATACGAGAACCTGCCCCGCTCCTTAGACTTAAAATTTCGTCTAGATAAATTTAAATATATATATTATATATAGATAAATTTAATAATAATGTGAGCAAGAGCGCACTGGCAAACAATAACGCGTCCTCTTCTGAATAAATTTTGAAAGATACTGATGATGAGCCCACAAACATCGATTAACTGGCGACCTATGATTTAACAACGCTGTATCGATCAGTATCCGTCGGTCAGCTAATGCTACCACGCCCATTGATCGATATCGATGATCGACGATATCGATGATCGACGATATCGATGTTGGTGTGGTAACACCCTTAGTAGTTATGTAGTAAAAATAGGGCGTTTTTTTTGTAGAATAAGGGTAACAAACGAGCACACAGTCCAACTGATGGTAAGTGGATGCTGTGGCCCAGACATCTACATTGATTCTCGATTTAAAATCAAAATGCAGATGCGTTGTCACCCCTGAGGACTAAGTTGGAATGGCTCGTATCCAGTAAAATATGATCTCCGGTTCTCTACACTCGCCGTACGACACACACAGCGTGTCCTTCCCCGGTCGAGCGGACCCATTCGTGCTACAACCATAATACAGTTGCAGCCTGACTCTACCACGTCAAAAGGACTGCACGGCGTCTTCAAATTCTTATTTTCTTTAGCGCGTAAAAGTTTGCTGCTAAACATGGGTCTCTCCTGTTTTATAAAGGATTTGAACATTTGGAGGACCTTCATTGTCACTCTCGGCAGGTGTATTGAAGATGGCAGCGCCGGGCGTTTTGCGTATTAGAAGTGTTTTCGATGGTTTTACTGCCATCTATCAGGAACCGTAAGGTTTTTATGAAATTTCCTATAGCCAAAAAACACCCATGGGTCGAAATTATTTACGCAACCATCACAAAGCAAACAATCTTCTTTTTAGTATCTCAATTTATTCATTAATTCATTACAGACTACCTATAAACTGTCATCATCTAGTGCGTATTTATATATTTATAATTTTTTTTTACTTAATTTTTAAATTTATATGCATTTTATATGCCCTATTTGCAATTCACTGTAAACAACAGTTCTTTGGTTTCCGAAACAGAACAGTGCTTTGTGAGCCGTGGTAGCTCAGATGGTTAACGCTCGCTGTAAATATAACGGAAAGCAAGTAATCCGGATTCGATCCCCGCCGACACAAATGAAATTATTGATTGCAATTTTAAGTACTGATTTACCACTTGCTTGACGGTGAAAGAAAACATCGTGAGGGAACCTGCATGTCTGAGGAATAAGAAAAAAAATATTTCGAAGACATGTGAAGTTTGTCAACACGCATTGGAGCAGCGCGGCCGTCACTTCCTTGCCCTAAACCCCTCTCAGAAATAAGGGGAAGCCTGTGCCCAGCAGTGGGATGTATATAGGCTGTAACTTTATTTTTAACAGTTCTTTGTTAAACAAGGGTTGTCTGGAAGAAATTGCTTTCAAAGCGATAAGACCGCCTGTTGTACTTTCTATATATATATTTATATTTCATTTGTCTCTTTCTTGTATATCTTAGTGTACAATAAAGAATATATTGATTGATTGATGGATTGACAAAATGCTTTATTACCAGTAAAATGGGCCTCAGTAGTAGCCCGGAGGCAACAAGCTGGCGGTGTTTTACCCGTGTGCCTTGGAAAGCACGTAAAGCCATTGGTTCTGCGCCTGATCACTCTCCGGTCATGTCGGATTGCTGTTACATAGGACTATGGAAGTGCATCTGTGCCTGCGCACACATTCGTACACTATAATTCTGGTCTGCACAGACAGCTACACTGCTTTGAGACTGGCCGCCATGACCGAGATTCGGTTGGAAGTTATTATTATTATTGTGCTTTGAATTAAACTAATCGTATTTAATATCAACTATAAATTTAGTGTGCTCATTCTGCGTAAATCGTATTATATTTTAAAATTGAAGGTTGCCTTCGTTAACTATGACAACAGGACGTCAGAAATCTCAGCACTACCCGTGACCGTAGGTGGTGTGAAGTGTCCGAAACTTTGTGATTTAGTTAAATTAAAAATAAACGCGATAAAATCATTCATATTAGTTTTATTTAATGTGCTTTATTTATTATTATTTATTATAATAATTAATAAAGCATATTAAATAAGCCGTGGTAGCTCAGTGGTTAACGCTCGCTGTAAATATAACAGAACGCGGGTTACTCGCGTTCTGTTACTACATAATATTTAACCGTGGTAGTACTATAAAATTTAACCGTGGTAGCTCAGTGGTTACCATGGTAGCTCAGTGGTTAACGCTCGCTGTAAATATAACAGAACGCGAGTAACCTGGGTTCGATCCCCGCCGGCACCAATGAAATTGTTAATTGCAATTTTAAGTGCTGATTTACCACGTGCTCGGCGGTGAAGGAAAACATCGTGAGGAAATCTGCATGTCTGAGGAATAAGCAAAAAAAAATATTTCGAAGACATGTGAAGTTCGTCAACACGCATTTTGGGCAGCGCGGCGGACACTTCCTTGCCCTAAACCCTCTCAGAAATGAGGGGAGGCCTGAGCCCAGCAGTGGGACGTATATAGGCTGTAACTTTACTTTTTTTTACTTTAAATAAGAGTGACTAATGAGCACACAGTCCACCTGATGGTAACTGGATGCAGTGGTTCATAGACATCTACATTTGTCTTCGATTAACAATCACAATGCAGATGCGTTGTCATCCGTGAGGACTAAGATGGAATGCCTCGTTTCCAGTAAAAAAGGGTCTCCAGTTCTTTACTCTCATCGTACAAAATAGCGGCATTAACTTGTTATTTTACGCTGATATTCTGTGAGAGCGTGATTCTACCCAGGTTAAGCCGTCTTATTCGTGCTATAACCGTGATATAGCTGCATTGTGGCTCTATCACGTGAAGATAAACTTAGAAATGAGGATGTTCTCAGGAGATGGCCTAACAGATTAGTAAGTTGAAGTGACAATGGGTCAGCCATATAGCTCGAATAACTGACAATCGATGGGGAAGTAAAGTTCTGGAGTGGCAGCCCCACTAGATGGAGTGATGACGTAGTAAGACATGTAGGAAGTCGATGGATTCAGGTGGCTCAGGACCGTGTTTTGTGGCAATCCTTGGGGGAGGCCTAGGTTCAGCAGTGAACTAGTGTACGGTTGTAATGATGATAATGATGATTACTATACTTATTTTTTGTTGCTTTTTTATATGTGGTAGAGCCTCGTTGCAGTTATATAATGATTGTGGCACGAATAGGTCGGCTCGACTGGGGTATTACCACGCTCTCACAAAACACCAGTGTAAAATAGCAGCTAAACGCTGCTATGTTTCATATGGTGAGTGTATAGAACGGGAGAGCTTTTGCTGAAAATGAGGCATTCCATCTTCGGGTGTGACAACGCATCTGCATTTTGATTCTTAATGGAGGATAAATGTAAATGTCTATGGGTCACAGCATTCACTTTCTTAGTTCATTTGTGACCGTTATTGTAAAAAAAGACATATGTTGAATTTGGCGCGGGCAGGTGTGGCGACGGCGCTGTCGGCGATTGCGGCGAGCGCGACGTGCGGCATGTTCACGCTGGGCATGGCGTGCTGGTGGGTGGGCCCGCGCGGCGCGGCGGCGGGCGCGGTGGCGGGCGCGCTGATGGCCGGCGCGACGGCGCTCGGCACGCAGGCGGCCGCCGGGCGAGGCCTGCGCGCTCCCCCGCGACCTTACACCCTGCAGTGCATCAACGCAACCTACGAACCCGCAGTATCGATCGTACGTACACTAAATTCTGTTTTAGATAGAAAGAATTGTGCATATAATTGATAGAATCAGGCGTTACTTTGCGAAAATCTATTATAATGAAGATATTGATTAATTTGCAACTTTTCGTTAACTAAAGACAATGATGTGTCTTACCTGGATTGAAGAGCACCTCCCGCCCTCCCTCAATTGCGTGCACTACTACCGTCCGTCACCACTACTCCCAGCACCACTACTCCCAACACCACTATTCCAGGTAAGACACACCATCGACGATAATACGACACGTGTTTCGCCTCTACACGAGGCATCTTCAGGTGATGTAGACTCTACGGCGGCTGACCGCTAAGTCAGTATGTGTTGTCTTTCCTGGAATAGTGGTGTTGGAAGTAGTGGCGCCGGGAGTAGTGGTGCTGGGACTAGTGGTGACGGAATAAGTGCACGCAATTGAGGGAGAGCGGGAGGTGCTCTTCATTCGAGGTAAGACACATCATTATATTTAGTTAGCGAAAGGTTGCAAATTAATCAAGATCTTTATTAATTGTGCATATTCCAGTTTAAGCATGTAGCTAAGCATGTAAAAAAAAGAAATTATATGCACAAAGATGGCCGTACAGTGGCGGTGTAAGAATATCCACTACGCCATATCATCCCGTGGGTGTCGAAAGAGACGACAAAGCGAAACAAATTAGAAGATGGGTAGCATCGTCTTCCTAGTAACTAATTATATTAAAAAAAAACTGCGGTTGCCAACCTGCTTGCCAAACGTGGCAACTATGGCAAATATCCCCTATGAGGCAATCTATGGGAGAAACATACGTTGACTTTAATATATAATGCACTCTGTAATCTAGCAGTATACGTATGTCTTTGGGGTGTTCTTATTTTCAATTTGAAGAAAACATTCCAACCCCAAGAATGGGATTTTCCCAGGTGAAGTTTTTAATGTAACTGTTTTGAAGAGATTCCAGCTTGTAATATTCCTTAGACTACTTATACGAGTCAAAAATTGGACTTTTAAACTAAACGTAAAGGCCAACTTCAAAAAAATAAAAATAATAAAATTATTGCCACATAATAGCTTCAGAAGTCAGGGTTTTAATGTTTCTATACCTATACTCAATGCCTTAGTTTTTTAAGATCAGCTTTAACTTCATAATAAAACTTTAATTTGTTAACCCGTTTAAATGGACGTCGACATACCACAAGCTCGAATGTTGTCTACATAGGTTACATCAACAACTTCACCTCTACTTTAGACCTATTAAGGCTAGAATATTGTATTTATATTCATTATATAAATGAGACCACTTCTATAGTATAACCAATTTGAATTAAAAAAAAACAACACGAAAATAGCTTCTTAATTGGGGGAGATATAAGGTACCATACAAAAAAAAAATTCAGTCAAATTGAGATTCTCCTTCTTGTTTTGAAGTCCTCCAGACCGAGTTTTGTCGTAGCCAGTCTTAAAGGCAACTAGCCATCTGCGCAGGACTGGACGACGTGCGTGTTGGCGGACTTCACGTCTTCAAAATATTTTTTTTTCATTACTCAGATATGCAGCATTCCTCGCTATGTTTTTTTTTCACCGCCGATCACACTAAGTAAATCGGCACTAGAAATTGCCATGTTCAATTTCAATGGTGCCGGTGAAAATCGAACTCGAGTTTTCGAACAAAAAGGATGATGTATTTAATTGAAACTAATTTTTATCGCTTATATTAACTTATTTTAAATTTCCGACGTTTCGAATCCTCTACAGCACCCATGGTCACGAGGGGATGTATTTTATTCCCCGCAAACACATGGAACGGTTGAAATAATACTAGTTTTTACGGAATTTATCGCGTATATTTAACTTTTTAAATACCCGACGTTTCGAACGCTTTACAGCACTCATGGTCACGGGCGGGAAATGGAACGGTGTTGTCTACAAATAATTTTCCAGGCTTCCGGGTCCATATACAATGCTAGAGTGTGACGTTTTTTTATATAATAAGGATGATAAATGAGCACACAGTTCACCTGATGGTAAGTGGATACTGTGGCCCATAGACATCTACATTTATCCTCGATTAAGAATCAAAACGCAGATGACAACGCATCTGCACCCCTGACGAGTAAGATGAATGCCTCGTTTCCAGTAAAAAAAAAATCTTCGAATCTCTACACTCACCGTACGAAACACAGCAGCATTAAGCTCCTATTTCACGCCGATTTTCTGTGAGTGCGTGATCCTACCACGATTGAGCCGACCCATTTTTTTTTTGCGTCCGAAGCAAATATGGGCAACCCTCCGAAAAGCGGGGGAGGGAGGTTGAGAATGCTCATAGCATACCACGCAGCCGGCTGCGTGGTTATGTGGAGACTTTTACCCGCTAAACTCAACCTTTTAGGAATTGGCTTAACGATCTGACTAGAGATCTCTAAGCCGTATACGAACGCGACCCTCCTTGGCAGAAAGGAGGGCGCAAGAGCCGACCCATTCATGCTACAACCATTATATAGCTGCAGCGTGCCTCTACCACGTATGCAAAAATTTCTCTTAAAAAAAAAGTAATTCTTTAACTACCGCGTGGCAGCGGCTTAAGGGAATCCATTAGTCTATTTTGTCCCTTCAGCGGCGTAAAAGATGGCTATGTCAGAAATATAATGGTTTTCGAAAGATGACTGTAAACCATCTCGTTTACGTCAGACGTTAATTATACAGAGATAAAAGGTAGCAGCTTCGGAGGTGCGAGCCGTCTGGTGTTGGGATCGTCGATCTGCTTGCCGAGCGTTATAATTAAGGCAAATCATCTTTACAGTCTGGCACTGGACTTTTAATGGGCTAATGATTATAATAATGTTAAAATTACTGAAAAAAATATTTAGAACAAACACGGTTTTTTTAATATTCGCTTTAATTTCGGTTTTTAATTAATATCAATATTATTTTAACACTGTTTTCAGGATCCCGAAACGATCTTTCCCCTGTTCCGCATATCGTACCACTGGATCGCGCCATTGGGATTGCTAGCGACTCTTTCTGTTGGCGCGCTGGTTGGCTGGTTCTTCGACAAGCAACACGACATCAAAATGGACGCGGAACTGTTCACACCAGCGATATGGCGTTTCTTGCCGAGTGAAGCGCACCAACACGCCGGTGTAACGCGGCGGAATCTAGTCAACAAGACAGCGGATTCACCAGCGCCCTCATCACCTCTCATTATAGGACGGGGTGTTGATAAGGTGAGAAAACCTGGCCTTTAGGTAGCTTTGGCTACTACGCTTAGGGTCTTGCGTTTGAAGAACTATAATTAACTAAAACACATATTTGCTTTTTTTCAAGTTTTGTTGTGTTGGCAAAAAGAACTGCTGGTATTAAAATTTGCCTCGTGTCTTACCTATACAAGTTGTTTTAAAGGTTTACGTCAAACGCGTGCCGGACGAGAAGTCAAGTAACATCCGTTCAACCAAAATAACAAAAGGTCATACATATTTTTGAAAATCTACATCACATCTTATGTAATGAGACCACAAATTTCACAATTTTGCAGTTTTTTTTTTCATAACGAAATAATTATTAATCGCAGTTGCAAATCACATTGAATATCAGTTTATTAAAAAAATTGATTGAGGTTTGTTTAAAAAATTCACATCAGTGCTAAGTGTTTTACCGTACAGCGTGAAGTTACTTAAGCCTAATACCTAAAAGTCCACATCTGGACAAAGGTGCCATGAGGCAATCCATAAGGCCCATATGAATGGGGAATATTTGCCATACCTGACACGCTATGCAGGCGGGATGGCAACCGCTTTTTTTACCATCTGATTTGTTTTATATTTTTACATATTTTTCATCTGTAGACTGCAGGATAAAAATATCAACAAAAATTTGTTTGTGAGTTCGCCATTGTCCTTTGAGGTTTTTTCCTCTTTTTTGCACATGAAATGACTATTTGTTGTAATATGTATAAGATAAGCTGTAACTTTTTAAATAAATAAATATATATGTTACTTTTACATATTTTGTTTCAGATTGAAATGAACGGTGAACCTAGCAGATGAAGTGATGATTATCTTTAAATCTAAAACATACTCAGGTATTTTAATGTACCAATATTGTAAAATTGAATATATTTATTATCTATGTATGAAATGAGGTAGATACATAACTGTTTTAATACTGTAGATTCGTATGATCCACAAAATGTAAGAAATCATGTAAGTGATTATTTGTATGCATGTTAGTGCATTTATCTTTAAGTTCAAAGAAATTGTTATGTTATTGATAATGTAACCGAAACTCGCAGCAATATTATATACGATTGTTATACAGGGTAACGACCTCTTACGTCGTATTCCTATCGTATACCTAGTATATATACCTATCGTCTGCCACCGTGTATAATATACCGGGCTTTAGGACTTATTCTTCTAAAGAGTCCCTTTGGATAGCTACAGAATTGCTAAAAACTTTATTGGTACTTTACAGCCTCATTAAGGTTTAAAATAGTAGAACGTAAATATATAAAAAGTTTAGTCTTCCTTAAGTAAATACAATTATATTACTTGGTAGTGGCATGGTACACGCGTAAAATGTATGGCCATGTACCATCCGTAATCGCCAATCCCAAGTGAATTCCGATCACTTGGTTAGAAAGAAATAAAGGTTGGATAGAAATAAATACCTCGCCAAATCACAAATGAATATTTTCCTATAATTAAGAAATTGTAGCAATATTTTTTTAACACGTAGATGAATTTCGTTGTTCTGTGGTTGATTGTAGAAGCCGCGTCCATATTTGTATGTAATTGTCTAATTATCACAAGTTTCTTATTTTATTTTAAAATGAGACAAAGGTTAAATTAATTATATGTAAATAAAGTTTTGATATCATATCGCACATCTAGTTCTTTAAAGTCATAAATGTCATTTTCTTAATTTTACAGTAGAGCACATTAAAGTTTTTTTGTTTGTTATAACTGAGTTTATTACTAGGTTTGGTGTGATATATGATTGCAAACGTTTTTTTTTAACTTTGTTCGTATAAAGTATGATTTAAATTAAAAAAAAACTGACATAATATTTATAAAGAGATTTAAATAAATGCAAAAAACTGCAACAAGACCCACACTAAATGATGTCACTTCAAAAACTTGTGACAATTATGATTATAGTATTTTTGTAAATAAAACACGAAAATAGTGAAATTTACTATTTATTTGACCATATTTATGTTACTTAACAACTTCTTAACTAATTAAAGAAAATTTTAGGTTTTTCACTAACCGTACTAGCTAAGTTTACCTTACTTATCATAATCATGGCACAGTAATTACACAAAACTTTCCTTAGACATTAAATAAAAAATTATAACTTATTATTAACACATTATAATGCTATTTTTAAGTATTACAAAGTCGGAGGGTAAGTGATTCAAATAATTAAGTACTTCAACTTAACTCAAAGTTCACTTATCCTACCTTTGGAAATCAGTTTCATCAACATTATAAAATTTTAGGCTAACAACTAACAAAAAGTATTTTTCTTTGTAAATACAATTATTAATTAAGTATTAGGTTTCTTATTTTTTAAAAGATGGTGCAGGTATTCATCCCTATTTCCTCACACAATGCTTTCAGATCTATGAAGTCATCGTAATTTAGTTCTTGAACTATGAAGGCCATTCCGGATTTCTTGGCATTCCATATAAGTTGAACATACTGGCCTGGCACATAGATAGGGCCAGATTTTTAGTACTTTAAATAGCTTTTTCGATTAGGGAATGGGCATTATCACCCTCGTTCTGTGTGTCACCGAGTTAATATTTAGTGTCGAAACAGCATAATGATACATCGCAAGTATGAATCTGTAAAATAAATAAATAAAGCCTCTTTTCTTCATCTAAAGCATATTTATACGATTCACACAGTCGCATTGATCCTTTATAGGTGTGAAAAAAGAAATGTTAAACTCCATATTAAATATATGTGCGTAAAACTCATATTTTGCAGCAATACTTTGGGTGGATTCTCTTTATAGTGTCTATACATTTCAGCAATAGTAAGATCACCATCAATGAACTCACGTCTAGTATAAGCCCTAATATAGTGGCTTTCGACTTGTAGAATTGCTTTTATATGCTCACGTACGGATTGGGCGACGTCTGGGCCCAAATTGGTCTTTGAATGCTTTCCACGACGATCAATTGCAACTACACCAGTACCACAGCATTTTGATTGAATAACCGTTCGTAACATACTTTCACCAATCCCGAACATGTTTAACAAGAAGGTTTTGCACACTCTTATAGGTTTACCTTCTACTAAAAATGTAAAACAACAATTTGGTCGACTTTCTTTTGTAGCATTATTTTCGAGCGACTTAAAGAAATATTTAGAGCTGCTACACACGTTGATAAATAATCTCGTTGCCTCTAAAATTAACGAAGTCCCCAGAAATTGTTGAACAATTTTTGCCTCATCTCTGTCGTTAATTTCATTGAGCAAGTTAATCGGCATTTATTTGAGCAGGGAGGTTTCATTTCTTTAGCTTTTACTAGTTTCCCAGTTTGAGAAACATACTCTTTTCCAGAATTTTTATGGGCTTCAATTAACTTTTCTTCCATTTGGCAACATTTCGTACTCTTTTTTGCCTTTTTTGGTAGGTTCCTACAAAGAAGAGTTTGTAGAACTAGAAGATGAACTACACGACGAGCTGGATGAAGAGTCAGACGATGAGCTGGACGAAGAGGTAGACGAAGAAATTGATGTTGAGGAATTGGACACAAAATGCCCACGTTTAATCTTTTTTGGGGTTGCAAACTCATCTTCACTGTCAGTTCCAGCAAATGGGTCGTTTTCTTGAGAAATATCTTCGGCTTCAAAGGCGTCTTTCTCATCAGAGCATTCTTGAATTTTACCATAAGTATTATATTTGGTAATATTAGCCAATACTTCCAAACACAGTGTCGTTAGGCTTTAACGAATATTTTCTTAGTGCAAGTTGGAACTGGGGACAAACACAACTCTTCATGACGATTAATATCTGAAATTAATTAAAAATTAGATGGCTTTCTTTTTATAATTTGGTAGTAAAATATAAACATAAAAATACTTAATAAATATTAGCACGCTTACTCGTACTGTCATCATTTTTAACGGCAATAATAAAATTTGGTTCTGTGTTCTTTCTGTAGCTTTTCTTTTATGTTGCTGACTACTATCTTTTTTGGACTCTTCTTCTAGTTTCTTCATAATAAATAAATTTATTAGTAGAGAAATTTTTAAACATGCTGTAACAATTAAATTAAAATAGGTAAATAAATCTGTAATGAGTTCAGTAATCAATAAATTTGTAATAGCGATAGTTAGCAATCCAATGTACTTTCGTTACTTACAGGTAGGAATAACAGATGCCAAAGGGCTGCTATCAGTTTCAGTCAGATTATCTTGTTCTTTAACATTATCACATTCAGCATTGTTGTTATCACCAAGTATATTGGCTGTAAAAGAATTATTTGGTGTTCCATTAGGTTCTAAGGTAGTTGATACAGGGCCTATTAACAAAATTTAAGTAAAATAAGTATCTATAACATAATCAGTAAAATTAATTTGATTTTATTATACGAATTAATTCATACTTACATAATTGATTATCAACCGAAGACAGAGAATTACCAACCAGATTTTCTTGCTTAAACGCAGCTACAGAGTTTCAAGTTCAATACTATCAACCTGTGCAATATCTTCTTCGCACTTTTTATTCCTGTCGAGAGTTAATGAAGGTAGATGTGAATAATTATTTTCCTCTGTGTAGCTTTTCTTTGTCTCGATATGTAAAAATAGTTGCATTGCGAAAGGAGCAGTGACTTGCCCTTTAATGGCCTTTTCAACTAATTTTTTTATTGCGATTACTTGCCATTCTACTGTGGTTTATATTTGCATTCGTCATAGAATTATCTAAAATAGAGATAACGATAAGTAAGTACTTATCAAAATTAAATAGGAAGTTAATTAAAAAATATGGTAATAGACAAGCGTACTTAGATGGTTATTAATAATTATTATGGTTTTACAAGTACGTAGATGACTCGGATCTACTCTTTTTAGGACAATATGTACTTGCAGTTTTGTGCTAAAGTGAAGAGCGTGACAGGCCTGATTGTAAGTTAAAAAGTCAAGTAGGTAAAAATATTTATTGTATTTAGAAAGCAGAAATGACATAATTACTTTAAATATTTCTATATCTAGTGCAATAATGACTCAACATACAATCCAGTCTTCCTTATTTTACATTTTGAGAATAATCTAGTACTACAATGTCATAAATTACAATTGGTCGTTATGGTATGAAAATTTGAGACTAATTCTACGTCTAAAAAGACATTAAATACAAATAGGGCGTTAATGCTTTTCAAATTGTCAGTTGCTTGAGTGCTATATAATACCGTAAATGCACATAAACGTCTTTTATGTTTTTAAGTCATAATTACCAGAACGACGATGTAGTCTCTGGACACAACCACTTGCCGCAGGAGGTCCCGGTCCCGCACAACTGACAAATAGGACGTCGTTGCACTCAAGGCGCGTAATTTTTTGTACTAATGCTATAATGACAGTGGCGCCGTGTACCGCACAGTTGTTGAATTAATAAAACGATCTTTAAGCACTCAATAGGTTCGTATAAAAGGAAAGTTGTGGCATAGTTAACTCATTTTTAGATTTTTTGACATTTATGACTAAAGAACTAGATGTGCGATATTTATTTTCCCTTTATTGTTTCACTGGTATTTCTGGTTGGTCAATTTTAATGACATTTTTCTAGTAATATTGATTATCTTAGTTTCACGTGCTATTGTCATATGAAATTTAAACTCCCAAATTTTTTATTGTGTTAGTCGTTCTTTTTTAAATGATTCGGACATGTAGAAATTATAATAATATATTATGATTGAATATATTTACCCCTGTGTGTAAAAGAAGTGTCTATTCATACCGTAATCGGACGATTACTTTTTCTTATTTATGCTATTATCGTATGATTTATTTATTTTTGTTCGTTC